TTTTTTTTTGGCTCTTTCTGCCCCTCCAAAGCCCAGGTTAAGCTCTCTGTGCAATACATTGAAAATAAAATAAAAAGGAAATGTCATCAGGCAGCCGACCCAATTCTTTCCCTTTTTACCTCAGCATAATTCCACTGCATCGGCAGGGAAGCCAGGTAACAGCCAGATGACCGCAAGCCAAAGGAAATGCTTGGCTGCTGGAGGCAGCAAGGCTTTGTCCAGCCGCCGTGCTTACCCATACCTTCCTCATGTCTGGAGCCTGTGCTGATTCACCGCCATGGAAGGACCCCAAGGTAGTTTGGGGTTTCCCTTGTGTGGCCTCATGCCTGCTGCAGGCTGCTCTGCAGGCAGTTCAGTGCCCAGATGAGGTCCTTGTCAGAACCCAGACGAGGTCCACTCCCTGTCCCACGGCATCGAGATGCTATTCATCATTCCCCTGGCTCCATTGGCTCATTGACTCCATAGGAAGCAGACAGAGTGGGCTGGAAGCAAACCCAGCTAGCCAGTGATAGTCTGAAGTCATCTTGAGCCGCCTGTGTTGCTCCTGCCAGAGGGGACCACCAGAGCCCCTCTGATTCCTGGTTTTGTGGCCCCAAAGCAATGGTGAGTGCCTCCACTGTGTGACATCCAGTCTGGTACAATGTGGGGGAAGACCCAAGAGCTGCAGCAGACACCAGCTGGAGATCCCAGGTTGGATATTAAAGAAGCATGTCTTCTCAGAAAGAATGGTTGGGCAGTGGCACAGCTGCTCAGGGAGTGATGGGGTCACCATCCCTGGAGGTGCTTCACAGCTGTGGAGATGTGGCACTGAGGGATGTGGGCAGTGGGCATGGTGGGGATGGGTTGGGGTTGGGCTTGGGGATCTTAGTGTCTTCTCCAACCTTAATGATCCCATGATTCTAGGTGTGAGCAGAGCTCAGCAATGTCTCAGATGCCAGGCTGGTTTGATCAGAGCAGAAGGGAGAAACACCCCTTCTTTTTATGGGTGCAAGCAGAGCCCCTTGACTTTGGAAAGACTGATTTTTATTGAAACTGCACCCCACTACGCTGCTTATGCACACCATGGAAGCCTCTATAGACATCCAACAGTATCAGAGCTCTGTGATGGCAGCTTCTGCAAGGGCTCACAGGCTGGTGTTCCTTCTCCCACTCTTTAAAGGAGGGAGGAGAGGAAAAGACTTGTGTACCAAGACCCAGAATCACCAAATAACAGTATCACTTCATTTGGAAGGGATCTTTAAAGGTCATCTAGCCCAACTCTCCTGCAATACAGTTCAGAAATGCCCCCTCTGGGGCATGCAGGAAGCTCTCCTGAGTCTCAGTGCTGTGCTCTACCCATGGGGACAAGCAGCTTCAGCTTCCTGGTTCAACTGAACTGGTAAGAAGATGTCTTTACAGACAAAACGCAACTGTCCCCTGATGGCTTCCCAGCCTGTGTGCCACCTGCTTGGGTTGACATTCAATTCACAGTTCTGAGGCTGGCAAAGGTTTGGATAGAGCTCAGCCAACTCCAAATGCCACGCTGTTTTCAGGACACATCACGTTCCTGTGTTTCAGACAGTCTTACCCTCTGTTGATGAAAAAAAAAAAAAAAAAAAAAAAAAGATCGGTTTGTGATTCAAGGCCAATTTGCTGTACAAAGAACTTGGTTTCCTGTTATCAGTCCTAGACTTTCATCAGAATAAACATCCCCTCACTGCATGTCCTGTGAAGAAATACAAGTACTATGAACAGAATATATCACGGCATGCCCATAAAAGCAACCAGCATTCTGTGCATGCCCGCACTGCTCCCACAGCTAAGCGATTCCCTAAAGCCAGGGAAGGACCTGGGGCTTTCCTGTAAACAGCAGCAACCCAAAACTTCCTGAAGGATGCTTGGGGTTAGGTCTGCATGACAGATCCCCTCCTTAATATGTGTTGAACACAGAGTTAAATCCAATCTCTAATGGACAAGACAACGTCCAGAGGTTGGGCACAGAGTCTTGGGTCCTTGCAGAACAGCTCTGACCAAGGGGCATGGTGGTACCACTGCTCTGCCCGACCAGACATCACCGAGACAGTGTTGAATCAGCGGATGTTTTACACCTGGAGGTGCCTTAATTACTATTTTTCTAGCCTATACATGACAAATCTCACAGCAAAGTATTCAGAACACGTCACAAGAAGGCCGATCGATTCCGTGCTGGAACAGTAGGTCATTGATGTGCAGGGAAATGCCATAGGAGCACATCTGGCACACGGATACCCAGGGCGGTGTTTCCTATGGAAAACTCCTACGAGGCTTTGGAGCCTCAGTCTCTGTGTAAAGGAAGGATATTCGTGCCAGCCTGCCTGAAATTAGCCTTGGAAGCTGCCTGCAGAAAGTGTGCCAGCTCAGATGCAAATCCCTTACTTACCTCGTGATGACAACAAAAGCCAGATGCAATTTTACTCATCCATTAACAAAAAAGACTTTGCCCAGCGCCACACGTGGGTGGGATTCCATTGGGGTGACATGATGCTGCTGGCACAAAGATCTTGGCCCCTGAGAATGGCAGCTCTGTGGCATGACAAATGCAGGCACTCGGCTCCGGCAGCCACGACTACATACTTTACCTGCTGACTAAAGAGGAAAAATGCAGAAAGTCTGAAAGTTAAAGTCTCAGCCAAGAGAGGATAACCTGAAGGAACAGTTCTTCAGATAAAGGTTCATTATTAGAACTGGACTCATGAAATCTACCAGCTGGTTTCCAACCCCATTTATAGCAGGGATAGTCAAGATAATTCATGGGTATTGCTACAGAAATCCAGTGGGGAAAAAATGATAGCCCATCTTCTTTGAGCAGTGCTGACAACATATGATTTTTGCATTGTGGGTATCACTGTGGGCAGAGGCTCCTCCGTGCTCCATTGAAATCAATGTCAAAGCTCCTAATTCTCACAATTTTTAGAAGTGTGAAAGTGTCTTCGTTTCTCCTACTCATGTGTCATGTTTCATTTCTTCTTTCTGCGCTCCTTCCAAATCCGAAAGTAAGATAAGCTGATTTCCTAGATCTCACGCAGCACTGGAAATCCCAAAAGAATCCTCAGCTTTCACGTTAAAACCAACCTGACACCTGTCCCCACGATCACTGCGTGGCACCAGAGCTTGGGGTTATTTTCTCGCTGCGGCCAATATATTTAAGGATGTGGTTGAGACAATGCTAAACATTTTCCGTTTGACTTCAGTTTGACTTTCAATTTGAAACAGAGATACCACTCTTCTTGTTAAACGCTATCCCAGAAAGAGGGAACGATTTTTAGAAGCACCACCAACCTGTTTGTGGCTCGACAGGTGCCAGGATACCCACACCATGTCTGCCAAAAAGCCTCTGGTCACCAGGGACAGAAGGGTTTCCCTTCTTCACCGATTTTCTGAAAACCCTACAAAACAATCACTTTCCCCTCATGGAACCTTCCCAATATTCTGGGTTTTAAAACGGCTTGTCATCTTAATTGCTGTTTGTATCTCTGGCAGATCAAAGGGAGGATGTCTGTGATTCTTTGTATTACTCATTGTTATATTAACACAAAGATCACATATTCATTTATTTTGCTTGAAGAGGTAACAGTCTCCTTTCACTGCACGCACATAATTACTGTAAGCATTCAGGGGACTTGCCAAATGATGCACTGGGGGGAGGAGGAGAATCTTTGAAGAAAATTGTTCAAACGTAATTTAGTTCACTAATTGGCAAGGGACCGTTACTAACGAATTGCTTCTGTTTTATGTCAGTAGTGAATCAGGTTGACGATGTGTAACATACATGAAGTCAGTTAATGAGTATTAACTAGAAATGCGCCTGAAATACAAGAAAGAGGTGGGTTTTTTTACCTTTAGCTGGCCGAGCAGAATCACCAATAAATAAAAGGATACGTGTAAGTGGCTTAGATGATTCCAATCTGCAGTGGAAAGACTTTTCTTAGAATCTGGTGGTAACCACAAGCTTGTGGGAAAGAAAAATCAGACGCTTACCGTGGCAGTTCATCACAAGTTACTTTATTTCTAACCAAGCCTGAAATGAAAATGACTAGAAGTCGTTACCGTAAAATAGCTGATTACAAGGCAGTGTGTACTGAGACAGTGAGCCTCTGGCCATGGCTACAAGCAGGGCAGCACTCTCGACTAAGCTGTGGATTTACTTGTGGTGTCTGTGTGCTCACTCTCGCTGTGTGGTAACATGAGACAGCCTCCTTCACTTTCATTGCGGGACAGGACACTTTGCATTCTCCGGTGTGCACAAGGCAGACTGACAGGCTTCCCTCTAGTAGCCATAACCACAGGCTTGTTTGTCTTTCTCCCGTACGCACAATACAACAACATAACGAGGCTTTGGGGGCAGGCAGGAGCCAGCAGGAACACAGAACCACAACCTCCAGGAGCACCAGGGCACGGCTTTCAGGTCAAGGCAGGTCCTGAGCCGTAGCTGGGCTCGAAGAACGCAGGCCTCCCATGGATGTGCAGGCATGAGAGTAAATATCATTACAAAATCTGGGCAGAAGGAAGCTTTCTGGTTTGCTCTGGCATGTGAACAAACTGGCTTATTAGGCCACAGGTGCAAATGTGAGGACTCGGGACTGAAAGTGAGGATAAAATGGAGAACTCTCATGTTCTACAAGTTTTGTGAAACAGGCATTAGGCCACGAAACCTGCCAGACACTGCTGCAGGCTGAGGGGCTGCCAGCAGTCTGTCTGCCCAAGGAAGGACAGGAGTGGCATTAGAATTAGGATTGCAGTGCCTTATTCAGCTACCTGGAGGAGGTCTGTTGAACATTTAGGGGTGTGCGCCCACCTCGTCAGCCAGATCCTTCGGGTGCCTGGCCCAAGAAGCCTGCATCTGGCTTCATGTACCTGCCAAGCAATCCTTTCTGTGGAGCTGACATAGGCCACAAAAGGAACACCTTATACCCCAAACCACTACTGCCCTTCAAGCTCCATCCTGAAATATCTCTGATGAGTATCAGAAATGCCAGGAATGCTGCTACATTACCAGGGACACTACTCCGCTGCATTCTAGTGCTTTTTTATTCCTCCATCCCACCTCCATCGTGTAAGATCAACTTTGTGTTGGGAAGATGTTGTTCTAAATTTCCTCCTTTGGCATTTCAAATTTCATTATCTCTTTTCTTATGTATAAAGTAATGCAGAGTTTGTTCTCTGAATATCATTTTTACAGTGTTTAAGACTAATTAAGATCATTTTGCTCCACTCCAATAATAACCATTAGGTTTTTACACCTCTCCAGTTATAACTTGGCAGAGTGTCAGCCAGGCAATCTACATGCCAGAAAACACAGCACCTTTGCTCCAAAGGACACAAATTCTTTCTTTTACTGCTGCTGCTCTCTTTACCTATATTTGGCCATCAAGAGGTACCTTTATAAAAGTTAGGTTTGAAACATGTGTATTTCAACACAAGCTGTATTGGGTAACTATGCCTCTTGGTACGAAGTGGATTGCTGCTTCAGAAGTAAGTTGATATTGTAACCATAGCAACACTACTTGCAGAGTCAGAAAAAAAAAAAGAAAAAAAAAAAACATTCAGCAGCAACAGCAGAAAATGTGTATAGATTACTTTATCTCTGCATTCAATATAGATAAAAACCCTTCTCTGAAAAAAAATAAAATAAAATCTATGCTCCGGAAACTGTAGATAGAATGAAGCACAATCTAATGAATCATGAAACTTGTTTGCTGCCATCGATATCTCAGAAAGTTCATCCTGAAATAGTGCTGTTGATATTGATAACATATTGGCAAGGGACAGCCCAGCCAGAGAGGAACAAATTTAGCCAGTGGGATGTGTGTGTGGTGGGAGGGAGGGAGGCAAGCAGAAAGAAGCACATAATACTGTCCACATCAAATCGCCAATCCTCAACTTTAAAACATGAAACAAGTGCTGTTGGCCTCCAGTCATGACAGCTGTGGTGCCTACTGCCTCTTTGCAATCCAAACTTTGTACAAGACAAAGTATGCAGAAATATGTGTGGCATGTGGAGAGTTAAATATGAGGAGAGAATTAAGGTCTTTACCAGTCAGATGACAACACGAACTCACACCTTCTGAAATGCATTGTGTGGCAGAACAAACATCATTTCCTGCCTTCCAGAAGCAGCTTCTCTGGTTCACTGACCTTCCTTTTCTTCTTGGGTCCTATTACCTCTTCCTGGCTAAACGCAAGGTTCAGGCACCTTATCTGTAAGAACCATCAGAAGCAGTGATCATTCTCACGGTACAGGCTCCTGTTAGTCAAGTCAAGAAAGACAACTTCCAAATCTACAATGTGTTTTCCTGGATCCTCTTGGGTTTTTTCAGTGTGATCTTGTTCTCCAGTAAAAACCATTAGACAAGGAATCAAAACTGGAACACTCACTGGAGCTGAGATGCTAAGGTTTGTGAAAGGAACAGGTTCAGCCCCACAGCCTAAAGACAATAAAAGGAGCAAGGAGATCCTTAAGAAATACAATAGCTCATGGGGAGAAGCCTTCTTCACCAACGTGGGATAATAAAAGACTCAGAGAATGACAGAATGGCTTGTGCTGGAAGGGACCCCAATGATCACCAAGTTCCACCCCCCCCTGTCACAAGCAGGGCCACTAACCTCCAGATCTGGCACTAGACCAGGCTGCTCAGGGCTCCATCCAACCTGGTCTTGAACACCTCCAGAGATGGAGCATCCACAGCCTCCCTGGGCAGCCTGTGCCAGCACCTCACCACTCTACCTGTGAAGAACTTCCCCCTGATATCCAAGCCTTCCTTCCAAACATCTAAACCTTCCTTCCTTGAGCTTAAAACCTTTTCCCCTTGCTCTATCACTATCTACCCTTGTAAAAAGTTGATTCCCCTCCTATTCATAATCCCACTGAAGAGAGGTACATGGGTCACATTTGCAGTCACTGGAAACATCCTTTCAGGATGAGACACTGTGGAATGATGTACACCATGGAATTTCAACGTGAGCTGATCGGTCACAAGTCCGGTCACAAATAGTCCAAAGACTAACCCTTGTGAGTTTGTGAAAAACAACTAAGCAAAGCAAGCTCTGTTTCAGGGGGCACAACTTCCCTCTAGGAAGACACAAGCCCCTCTCAAAAATATCCAGAGGCCTACAAAGCAAAAGGTTAAAAAGCACTAAAAAATATATGCTAGAATACAAGTGGACAATTCAGACAGATCACAGACAGATGAACGTCCAGAACGACAGCTGAAGTGTTGGCTGTGTCATGTAAATAACAAACTCACTTATTCTTGTTATCACAGGACATATTTGCATCTCTATAATAATAATAACATGGAGCTGCAGAGAGCAGCATGTGTTGCTGCCCACCCAGAAGAGACAAAGCACAGAGTCTGGCAGTGTGACCTATCTTGCTCCCGCTGGAACCGAACTGAAGGGACACAACATAGCACTCTTCAGCTTTGCCTCCAAAAGAAAATTCATTTGGATGAAAGTAAGGTGAATGAAGAGGGAAAATAGTGCTAAACAAGTTGCTAATTCAAAATAAGAGCAGCTTATTCTGGTTTCACTAAAAAATCAGGAGGAACTCTATGCCTGAAGCAGGATAAGCACAAAGAGTTAATAAGGAGCTATTCCAGAACACATCCTGGAGAGAAGCACAAGGTCTCCAGATTACAAAATGTGGTCATTACAGAATTCCCCACCCACGTCATCAAGGCTCTCTTTCTATCTGACCTTGGTATGAGGCTTTGGTAATCTCTACGTAGCAATGGTCTTCCTAATGTGTGAAATAACTCTGACTGTGGATTAGAGCAAAACCACCTCAGTTTGCTTCTCTATCGTATTTCAAATTGTTTTTCTTCCCCTCTTCCCTCCTCTTCATTATGAGCAACACGATATTGGCTAATGCAGAAAGTACAACTTCCTTTCCATGCAAACAGAAAAAGAACAGAACCTGCCAAAGTGGGAGAGGCAGGTTTTCCTTCAGTCTGACAAAACTTCAGCGCTGTCCACAGCGTATTTGCTTGAGGAAACAGAGATGAGTGGATCCCTATGTTACAGTTCCTGACCTGATATCCAGCTGCTCAAACTGGCATTTCAGGCAGTTATTTACTTTCCTTTCCCTGGCACCATTTTAACCTGTCTGCTTCGGTTTTTGAAGCACAGGGCCCTGGGGTGGAAACACTGCATCTAGACACTCTGCACTGCTAACACAGCTGCAAGTCTTGTACCCCGTCCTGCTGGCTGCATAACAAATATAGCAATGATCCGCAGTCTCCAGGCCCCTGGTCACCTGAGGGAGTCAGCTCTCCTTCTGTTTTAGCCCAAACCACACAGTGAGCACATCATCTACAGCTGGTGCTTTTATTCCCTCTATCGAGGAATGGACTCTCTGCAGCACAGACAGCAACTTGGAGATTTACCCCTTTCTTATTTCTCTGCGTGGATGGGATGCTTTTGAGGCAGGAGAAGCAGCCACAAGGAGCAGCCACAACTCCCTCTGTGTGCATGCCCTACAGGAACCTGGAGATTAGGAGTAAAAACATCTATGCAAGTCATCATGTTCGGCAGACACGCACTATTCATCTACTGAATGAACAAGATGTCAAACGTGTGAGGTATTTCACCAAAGCCAACATGTCCTGTCCTGCTCCCACCCTGCTACAAGTTCACCTATGAGCTCAGAGGCAGGCTCAGACCCCGAGCCCAACTTCCAGGTTCCTACCTTAACCAAACACTTGGGCTTCTTCCCCAGCAATGCGCTCTAAATGGGATTAAGTCAGATCCTACGTGTGTTTATTTGACTTTAACCAGAAAGTAAACCTCTTAAACGGCGCGGTAAAAAGCAGGAAATCCCTCCCATTGACTAAACATACAATCAAAGCCTCCAAAAGTTGATTAATTCTATTTTTTCCCATACTCTGGGACTTTGACCAACCCATAGGAGAGCTCAAGCTGTACCAACGTTGGTTTTTGTCTTACACAACCACTGCAGGGCCTCGGCTCCCCTCAGGTATGGAGCCAGGTGCCACAAGGCCCTCCTAGGGACAATGCTGATGGGGTACGAAGACAGGAACAGAGCTGCGACCTCCTGGCTGTCAGTCCAAGTCATAGCACGATGACAGTGGTCTTGAACCTCCTGTGTTTTACAGTACTGGGCTATGTGTAAAACGGTCATATTTTGCCACAGATTTTTTCTGTGCAATTACAGCTAACTTGTGAATCATGCAAGTGTTACTAATTTCTGGCATAAAACTTAACGGGACAGCTGCACATTGTCTGGAGAAGATATCAGGCTAAAAATAGATCAGACTTCAGATTAAAGCCTTCCCAAGGCAGACTGGTGGATGCAGCACAGCAAACAGACTATGGTTACGCTCCTATTCTTAGATAGACAAAATCAGTTTCGTGCTCTGCAATTTTCAATCCCCAGCGTCCCCACGTATCCCGGCCAAAAAATTCCCAACATAAATTGATGCAAATTTACAGCACTTCTGGCATGTTTTGCTTCCGAAGGCATCCTATGTAGAAAAGCTAGAATAGCATAAGAGCATTCAGCTGTGTCCCCGCTTTGTGCCTGGCCTGCCCCATGCTGAGGTTTGGCACTTTGTAAATCTTATGTCCTCAGAAGAGTTCCCTTTGTCAGGACACGGAGTGTTTAATGTGGTATGCTGTAACTATCCTAACAAATTCAGAAGCACATGAATGTCAAAGGAAACCCAGTTCCATCAAGCAAGCCAGAAGAATAAGGACTGAGATACAAGACTTAGCTGGTGAAACAAAGCAAAACAATCCTCTGCTGCCAAGGCAGCAAGTACATCTAGCAGGGTACACAGATCATCATTAGGAAACTCTTATCAGAGCGGGCCAACGCCTGATGCATCTTGTGATTTTGGCTGCAGATAACACGACTTGGTAGCCCGGCAAACATTGCCACTTTGAAAAGCCAAGCCAGTGGCTCTTTAAATGCAGCCCCCAGAACAGGAGGCATGCCAGGTGACAGACATCTCTCTCCGAGTCAGGGCAGCTCACTGACAGGTGGCTGCTCCAAGCACAGCAAAATCGAGTTCACGAGGCACGTGGTGCTGTGCAGCAAAGAGATGAAAGGAAACAGACACAAACCTAACTGCAGCAAATTCCATTTAAACATAAGGAAGAGCTTTTCTTTGCTATGAGCCTGATCAAATACTGGTGCAGGCTGTCCAGAGGGTCAATGGAGCCTCCATCCTTGGAGGTATTCAAAATGTGACTGGCCAGGGTGCTTACCCTGCCCTGGGCACGTAGGATGCTCAATGTGGCCTCCAGGTCTTCTGACGAAGTTCTGCGAAGGCGGCACAAAGGTTAAAGCTCAGCACAGGGCTCAGCGCTGACTGAGCTCCTATCACTTTCCAGAAAAGCCAATGCACTGACATCAGTAGAACTAATCCTGATTTTCATCTGTACAAAGTGGAGGAGAATCACGCTGGTAAGCATGAAAGCCAAATTACGCAGGTGGAAGAATGAAAGACGCTCACTGTGATGCATCTATGGAAACTTGCCACATTTCTGTCCCCAGGAAACCATGCCAAGACATCACTGATTACCACTGGTCCTCTTCCTTTTCCATAGTTCACTGTTAAAATCTCTGCCATCCAACGCAATTTCCTTTCTGCAGACAAAGTCTCACAGGCCTACACTGTGTCTCACGTATCTCGTTGCGTTTAAAGGACTACGAACACATCTTTCCAGACTATGAAAACAAATTGTTCAAAATATCTGATTAAAAAATCAAATAAGTACCACTGTCTGTCCATGTAGCCTCCACCAGGACCCTCAATTGGCCTGTAAGCTCCTGCACTGGGAGACTTTTCCTTGTGAGATTTACAGCCCTGTAACCCAGGAGATGAAAAGCAAAGACACTCACTCTGCCTATGAGGCCATCACGCAGCTTAGCCCCTCATGGGATATCAGACCTAACCAACCTTCCTCTGTGCAGATTTCTCTAGTGGTCTGTCTGGTTGTTAACATGCACATTATGAACATGTGTAAAGGCTTAGAGGCTCCATGCCTTCCTCTGGATGTCCCTGGCATAGCTGAAAGGGAATCTGAGGGCACATGAGTTTAACCTCTAGGGCAATGAGCATCACCTCTAAGTGAAGAGATCACTAAGAAGCTGTTTCATACACACTAGTCAGGAACAACTCATGCAAGGGATGAACAGCCTCAGATCCAGCTAAAGGTTGGATGTGAATGCAGAGAAGCCAGGAATTTCCTGACCTCCCTGTCTCACTCCTCCCAGAATGGCCTGAGCTAACAGGAAGGAGAGAGGCTAGCTCATCTCTGAATCTTTCTCTTCATTGTTTGGGTCTGTGTAGCCTCAGCTGGTTTGGAGGAGAAAATGTTCTGGGAACTTCTCATCAGATACAGTTCGCTTGATAGACAGCTAGAGATAAACCTTTCTTTTTTTTCTTTGCTGCAAAAGTTCAAGATAATGACATTGCCACAGAAAAATGCTTTCCTATTGCTCGGCAAATGGCAGACTTCACCCTTAAACTGCTTTCTGTCATGGCAATTGTAAAAGTGGCTTGCCTGGGAAAAATCAGACAACAAAGGTCTTGATCTTCAAGTTGTTATTCTGCAACTGGATCCCTTGTGCTGACCTTCACTTTCAGACAGAAGTCACATGCAACTCTGAAGCTCAGCAAAGGCACAGGGATCTCCAGCAGGATTACCACGGCTCTGGGCACCAAGAGGAGGCTGACCACTGACAAACAAAACATACTGCCCGTAAGGTGTCAGGCATGAAAGACTGCTCATGCTGGCTTCCATTGCTGCCACAGCCTCTCTCATAGAGAAAAAGGATGTCACTAGGCACCTAAGACATCAGCACGGGGAGTAAGCAGCTGGCCGGACAAACCACCATCCTCAGCCTAAAATGGCACTCTTTCATTTAGGCAAATGAATCTCTCTGACCTTCAGACAGCTCCAGTTAAGAGAGCTGTGCCACACAGCCAGGCACTGACTGGCAGTGTGGAGCCCCTGGGCTATCAGTGATTCAAACTGCTGCATCTACACAAGGCCAATCCTCAGCACACTTACTGGTGTCCCTCAGCAGCCTGGTAGCACAAATGCAGCCAGCCCAGCAGCATAAGCACTGTCTGGCACTGACTTGAGAAGCCAAAAAACCAGGAGGTAGAACTGTTCTGTGCTGATGCAGCCACACCACTTCCAGCTCTGGCACAGGCTCGGTCTGGGACGACTCAGGGCTCTGCACAACTGCTGCACTGTGCAATGAGACTGTGCTCTAAGGACCACCCCAGAACTTCAGCCAACAGCTTGCTGATGGGAGATAACGCCTGCAGAAGCATCCACATGGTCAGCTTTTATTCATCTTCTAGAACTATTTCATTCCAAACTCATTCCACTGTAACGTTTGCTTACATGAAGACAAAGCTAACAAAAATCAACTTGTGGGACAAGACCATTAAAGGATTCATAAGAGGGTAAAGGACTATGCTGAAGTCTTCAAAAAGTTATCTCACATTCAGTGCAGGACCCCACTTCCATCAGCAGATTTCTACAGAATAAATCAATGGGCAGCAATTCCCTATTTTACACAGCTCTTCAGATCACAACTGCTAGAATGCCAGTGGAAACTAGGAAGACACATAAAGATAGCACACTGGGACAAATCCGCAGCTGATGCAATCAGAAACTCTCCTCAAGTCAGCAGAGGTAGGGTAATTTACATGCTGGTGTCTAACTCTGGATGATTAAGTACAGAGATGCTTTGCTGGGAAAGGGCAATCTCTCATTTGATCCTAAGTATCATCAATCATTAGATTGCAGATAACAAGCAAGTTGAGTACATGTAAATTTTTCTCCAATCTGAAAAGCCCTCTGTCAGAGACTCTTCGTGGCCATTATTAAACAGCAGTTATAGTCCTAACAGGACAGAAATAGTTCTTTCTCTTTTGGCAGATCTGCAGCCTTTGCTTCTCCCATGTCATACAGATAAAAATAAGCCTCTAATGCTTCCATTCCTGGTTTTCCTGAAGAGCTGTAGGTCAGGAAAATAATGAATAATCAACTCGGTTCCAACAGCATAGTTCTGTTGTTTTTTTTTTTTATAACTGAGAAATAGAAGGAATAAAGCAGTCCACTCAGAGAAAGAGCAGCGATGGGGCTGTCCAAATTCCCAAAAGCACCTCATGACTGTATGGGATTTTTTAATACATCACTTTCTGAACATCAAATCCTTGCACAGGCACCAAAATCTGGAATACACAGGATTGCTTCCATTGGTTTTGATAACCTCAGCCTCAGCACGTAACGGTGCAGTTAAGCACTGACAGCCCAGCCCCTGGGCTGAGCCATGAACACTCTGAGCACCAGCAGGGCGAGGTCCCCCCCAGCCCGCCTCGCCCTCACCAACCAGCCATGCCCACTCCCCCATGGTAGCACTGGTATGTGAGCAATTTTTATGAGAGCTAGTTCAAGGTGCTCTTTGGGTGGAAACCTAACACTTGTCGTGCACTCGCAGCGTGAGCCTCATGGCTTATGTCTGCCAAAAAAAAAGGGAGAGCTGCACGGACCCGGCCAAGTGGTTCCCAAGCCCTGCACACCCCAAGCTGACTGACCCCTCAAATCCAGGGGAAAGCAGCTCTCTTGAGAGACCACAGAGCTCCTCAAATCACAGAGCTCCTCCAAGCACACCTGAAAAACGCCGTTCACTTCACTGTACTGCAGCCTGGATAGCAACAAGATGTTTACATTCACACCCCAACAGGACTCCTTCTGCCATCTTACCTGCGTTTGACCTTGTTAGATAATACCTAACTCTGATTTCCCTAGCTTGCCCTCATTTTTTAAGACAAACTTCACTCGATAGTTTGGCTTCCTGATACAAGTGGAACACACAATGCACATTTGTTTCACCCACTTCCCTCAGAAAAAAAGGGAAAGTCCCTCTCACATGGAAAATAGCATCAAATTTTTATTAGTGCTGGCTTTAGTGCGTGATTATCTGAACTTTCTAAATAGTGACTTGATTTTATTTCTTCCTAAAGTGACTGAAATGTTAGCCATGTTCTAAGCAATTATGTCTAAAAATATTAATATCAAAGAATAACTCAAAAACTGTCTGCCCAGCAGAATTTAACAGGAAGAGGGCTTGCAATTCTTTTTTTGAGTCTTTGGAAGCATAAAGTGGATAAAATGACTCTTCCACTTTTCAGTAACCAGTACTGTTTCCACCACCTTCAGAAACTCTCACTATTGCTACTGCATTCTAAGGGAATTCACATGCTGCAGGAGAGAGGTGTCTGATGCTCTGACTCTAATCGTGACAGACCCGAAAGAATGCAAGAGCATGAATCAGAGGGACAACCATGAGTTACAAACAAAAAAGGCTCCTGTTTTCTCAGAGACGACAGAATAAACAATGATCAGAAGGAAACTGGAGGATGTGACAAAAAAAAAATGTGGTTAAAGTTTGAAAAATACCAGCCTAGGCACAGAAGTTCATTTCTAAGATCCAGAGTCAATGCAAATACTTCAGAGATGCCTTTTGAATGACACGTTAAGTAGTCGTCTCCAGTTGCTGTCTGGGTTAGACTTTTCAACAGAAGCAGGGAAAATTTTACTAGCAATTTCCTACTCTCGTTAACTTATCCTGTGAAGATTCAGTTTCTGAATATTCAAGCTCACAGCATTTTCAACTAATTTGAATAGGAAGAGGATCAACTGGCAAGTCTGGTGGTATTCAGAGACCTGCCCTGTCACTGAAAAGAGCTCTGCACGAGGTCATGAATTTGAGCTCTGATTTTGATTCAGGGATTGACCTGAACAGTCTCAGGATGGAATTAACTTCACATAACTTTATTTATCACATCTGGTCCACCCTACTTCTTAGCTTTGCCTCAGCAACCCCTGAAAAAAGAGATCAGCACCTCCAGCGGATAAGTCTTCCTATCACAGAGAGGTAGGCAAAAAGGGATAGGATCCAGAAGTACCTGTGACTCACACGTGAAGATAGACTGGCGGCAGGAAAGGAGAGGTAAAGATTAGCTTAGGCAGCAGACAAACACAGCCTTCAAATCTAACACAGGGTGGTGATTTCAGAACCCTAATCCAAAACACACACAGGTAAAGAAACCTGGCTGTGACATTTAGTCTGCATGTGTAATTCACGTGTGTCAACTCCTGGAACAGAACAAAACCTCTTGTAGTGGATGTGTGAAATAAGCTGACCATGGAAAGCTTGTTCATAAATGCTTCCAGTTCATGCTTATACCCCTATGCTATAACACTTTGTAGCCAGTGCAGACTTCACACTGTACAACAAATTCACAAGTTATTAGAAACTTGTGCCATCCTAGGTGACGTAACATTCCATGGCAATCAATTCACACTGCCTGTCACATCACAGAGTCACTAAAATTTGCTCACCTGCTGAGATGCCTGTGAGGAAGGCCGCCTGCCCATCTCTTTTATTTTCATCTTTCCCTTTTCACCTACAATGCAAACATATCAAAATTAGCTCTCAAGTTTAAAGCCCTATATTTAATGAAAAAAAAATATATAAAAGCACAACTGAACCACTGTAGTGCAATTTCATCCCTGATGTGAAATGGTGTAACCGTTATTCTCAGGCACTGCCAGCACTGGCAGTTTAGCACTGGAAACAGATTTCAGACTAGTATCATCTAAATATAAAACATTAACCTGCAACAGCTCCTGTCCATGAAGTTAACACTTCAATTTTTAACCCGGCTTCCTAAGAAACAAGGATTATGTCAGTATATAATCTGTGTAAGTGGCTGTGTTGGACAGGAGCTTGTCCTCTGATTAATAACTCTTGTCCTTACTAGACAGTTTCCATAAAATTTGATTGTGGGGTCCGAAACTGCTTCAGATCTTCATAAAAACAATTAGATGAAGCAGAAAGATATTGTTAATATCCCCCTAGTGGAAAAGGTGGCAGTATGAGTTCACTCCTTATTAGTTATCAGAGAATCTGCAGGAGGAAGACTTGAAGAGGTGGCTTCATAGGCAGCCCAGCTTCTTTATTCCACTGGCTGAGGATCTCAGGAATGCTATTTACCATTTTGTCACTAGATGGTATTGTTCCACAGGCTATATTTGAGAGCCTCAAAGGTCAAGCAGAGCGTGGTACATCACCAGCTAGGCTTACTGAAGTGACAGAGGAGGCTTTTTTTGTGTGTGTGTATGTATGTTCATGCATGCTTTCACATTCAAAAGTTATTAGCAAAATCAAACTGTAACAGCTATAGGAAAAGAGCCTTGGTGAAATGTAGATAATGTAATGTGGTATTGATGAACTATGCATTTCCTCTGTATCTGAAAAAAAACTGCTGAGATAAAAAGGTGGAAAGATATTGATAAAAAATTGAATGTTTCTGTTAACAAACCAAGCATACACAAGAGGCCTTTTATTATAGGTCACTCTGATCTCATACAAAATTGAATTAGTCTGACAAACTGTTCATCCATCTCAAAATAGTCGAGAAAATCTAAATATTGTGCTAAGAGATTAGCTGTGAACACAGGCTCCTTCACTGTTGAAACTGAGCTTCTACCTGTATCTTGAAGGCAAAAAGAAGATGCTTCAGTTCCCAGGCCTGGATGGGTATAATTTCTGTCCTTTCCATGCTCATCTGAATCTGCTCTGACAGGGAGAGGGTTGTTCTGCAATGCAAATAATCTCTGAATTAATACCACAACTTAAAAATTATTCCCAGGAGGTAAATCTGCTGAGCTTATACTTAGCACTAACAGAGATGAGATTTACAAAACTCCTCAGCATGCAGGCACTCCTACTCCCAAGACTAGAGGCCTTAAGGAAGAGAGATTTACTGAGAAAGGCAGAAAATTCTGGCCCAAACAGTTTCCTGTCTTCAGGCAGCAGTTATGCTAGGGCTTGTTCACTGGCATTTGCCACCTAAAATTAAACTGCCTAGTCTGAGCTGCTGGTGCAAGCTGCCCCTTCTGTTATTTTGGCTTACCTTGCTGTCTAATGATTGCCTGCTAAAGACAACACCTGCACTAAGCACTGAGGTGCTCCAGAGAAACTGGGCACAATGCACAACTTTGGGATGGTTAGAGGCAATGGAAGGAATCCCACCTGACTACACAGCAGAACACTGATCAGATCTGGGAAAGAAACACCAAATGGAAATGCAAAAGTCTGCAGCTTTCTCCAGTTCTGCATGTGTGTGCAGTGGCTCTGTATAATCACTGCCCTCTTCTGGGAGAACATATCAGACTCAGTAAGCCAGTGGATGTGCTCAAATGAAATTCACATTATGCTAATGGCTTTGCAATCTTAGTGCTCAATCCACTGCAGCAGTGCTGCCCTGCACAAGCTTATTAAACTAGGATTCTGAGCAAATGCTTTTTTTCAGAGTGTTTTGCTACATAAATTCCACTCCTCCAATGAAAACTGCATAGAATTATTTCTCTACCTTAGTGCTTTCCTCCTCTTCCTCTTCATCACAGTCTAACCCTGGATGGGAGATCTCAGTAGGGCTATTCTTCTGGATCAGGTTGCTTTCAACTCTCCCCATTCTTTTGCTTTCAGTTGTTACTTTCACTTTCAAGGTGTGGAATCCAGTGGAGACTGACCCTAGTTTCAAGTTGACAGGATCACCATCAAACAACAGGTCACCAGGGTTGTCATCTTTCTTAAAGCCAGGTGGTTGGTAATCATCAGGAGTTACTACACATGGAGAAAGAACCCAATGCTGTCAGAGAAACAAAGTTCCATCTCTCTTTAACCTGCTCTATAAAATACACACATCTACCAACCTCCAGAAACAACGCCAGCTACCTACAATGTGTTGGGTGGTTATGTTTTTTTTTGAGGGAAGAAGGGAGATTTCAAAGGAAAAAAAAGAACTGAGCAAATGTTATCAAGAGGCTGAAAGAAATAGTAACTTTAGAATGCTGAGATACCATCCATGAGCACAACTTTCTGGATTACAAGCCAACACACAGGAGGTGCGTGTTCCTTAAGAAACAAACAAATAGTGAAGAAGGCTGTCCTTTTCACACTGCAAGGTTGCACTTCTTATAAGGATTTACAATCCCTTCTCAAAGCATCTGCCATCCCTGTGTGTCTAAAGGATTCACTACATTTTACACCATTTCTCACTGTATCAGCTAATAGATTCTCACTGCCTCACCATCTCACTGCCATTTCACCTTTCTAAGGTTTATTAATTTCACGGGACTCGTGATTATCACAGAAACTGATGGAAAGGGAAGCTCCCCTCGCAGCACACGCAGCTATCCACCTACCATCATTGTAGTAGAGGAGCTTCATGGTCAGGGTAATGTCATTGGGAAGTGGGCCCAGGTTTTGCATTAACAGGTACAGCTTACGGATCAGCAGGCTGCAGGCTTGTTTCATGTCCTCGCTGCACACTCCATTCACAAAGTTCGTTTTGTTGCTACAATGGAAAGCAGAATAACAGAGTTGTTTTTCCTCAGTCATGAATATTCAAGATCCAATTACAAATACAGTGCACCCACTGACTCGTCTCAAAGCACCAGTGAGAAAGCTACAATGCCTTTATGTAATTTCCAAATAAACAGGGAAGTGAAACAGACTCCAGGGATGGAGTGGCATCAGGAAAACAACAGCTCTAAACGAAGTGGTATGGCATTTACATTTGAAAAGACTTTGTAGTTGGGGCAATGGACCCCCATTATACAAATATCGTGACTCACTTGTTCGAACATGATTAAAATGGATCAAAGGACCATAAAACAAGTGCCTTTCACCTAAGCAATTCCAGGAATGAGAGGAATGAGGTGTAAATCCCATATAAAGCTGATTCATCACTGTGGCTATTTTCAAGTCCATTTTGCAGATTGAAGAGAAGTGAATTCCATGTTCTCACTTCAATTTCATGTAAGAAAAACTAGCTCAGAAGTACATTTTTCCAAAGTGACTAAGGGGCATTCCTCTCACCTCCTTCACCCATCCAAATGTCAGCTGGCTAGTCTAAGCAAGCAGTCTAGACTGAGATAACCCATGCAGCAGCAGTGGGATGAATTGCTCTCTGGAGGAGTTCGTTTCTCTTGACTACAGAGGTTGATGAGATGAGCAGCTTAGATCAGACTGCTAACTCTAGCCAGTTGGAGGCAAACTGGATGAATCACTAAGAGAGTGAGGAACCTACACTTCCTTAACATTCAACAATAAAGAGCCTTAAAAATAGTAGTTCCTCCACTATAAAATTGTATCTTTGGAAGACCACTGGCAGGTGGATGATGCCACAAATAGACTGGATGGTATCTAACAAAATCACCACAAATTATTTCCAAAGCAGAAAGTAACAAATGATAGCAGGAAGAATGCCAGGGCTGAGTATGACTGATTAAATCACTGCTTCTGTAAGATGGATTTCCCCTTCCAATTGGAGCATTTCAATATGAAAACTGAGTGGCTGTTGAATAGTTTCTTTTCCCAAGGTTATGTAGGTTATGGTTTGGTAAGCTCCAAACTGCCAACAACAAAACCCTTGTGCTGACCATGCTGTGTTATTAAATGGAATCTTGTATGCTCTGGAATGCATATGGGAAGTGAGAGGGCTAATGATGGCAACATCAAGGTGGAATAAAGAGAAACCAGGCCTTTTCTTCCACATCATCTTTACAAGTCTTGAGATTAGCAGAGTAGAAACCACAGAAGAAAGAGTATATACATGAGAGCTCCATAGGAATTAACAGGCCAAGTTCTGGTTCAGTATGAGAATAACACTGGATTTGATGCAGGAATGTGCCAAAAGTTAGGAACCAAGGAACTGAACCTCTCTGAAAGGCTGGGATCCATGGCCAGGAACTCCTCCAAAAATCAATCTAGAATAGGGCAGAGATCATCTAGGAGAACGTTTTCCTTTGCCACTCATACACAAGGACACAGACACATTCCTTGGGGAATGATTAGCTCTAGGTTGGCATGTGGCAATAAACCTTGCAGGTGCATAACAGTAGTTTTATCAGCTGAAAGAGCTGACAGCAAAGATGACACAATACTTTGATCAATGCCAGAATGTCAGCTTACAAACGACTGCAGGTACATACATGACCTGGTGATAGCAATGTCAGTCACTGGGGAAACAGAACAGAGCCACAGCTCAGGGAATCTGAGGCCACAATCTCTGAACTCTCAGCACAGCAGTGAGATTTTGAAGGAACTGATATAAACAGAACATAAAATATAAAGAGAAGTCTCTTCTTGACCAGTACTACGGACATCAACGAATGCTGCGTTCTGCTGAGGAACTGGCTAATTATTTTCCTTGTTTTGGTCATAGTTAATAGCCTTTGACAATCTTAAGTTTAAACTAAACAGGATTTTGCCCTACTAAACACAGCTGTCAAATATCTAACAGTGCCAAGAAGATGCAAGATGCTGCTGCTTCCTGCCATAAGTTCTGCAGCATCAACATAGGCATGATCAGAGAAAGACCTCCCAGGCCACCCTCATAGACTACTCAAGCAGAACACATGCATGCAAATGCCCATGGATAAAAATACTGGGAATGAGAATTTCATAAAAAGGATCAAACTTGGAACAGCTTCATTTGAAAGCACAAGGCTCTCCTGTGAAACTGGAAGAACGCTGCTGTTAGTTGAGATGGTAGCAAGCTTAACAAATGTGTTGGTTTCTCTACTGCTACACTGACCTGGTGTGATTTCTGTAAGTTGCTTTTCATTCAGTTCTGGTGCACTTCAAGTGCCTCACTGTGCTATATAACAGCATTTCTATTCATCAGCTTGGATGTTTGTATCCTGTAGAGTGACTGACTGACTATTCTCAATTCTGATAATATGTACAGCTGCTGAGCTGCTCAGACATGCTATCATCATGAAGGGCAGCTTCTTCCTCAGGCTTCAGAAACACCTGACTTTCATAGTGCAATTCTGAGAAATAAACTCAAACCATTACCTGATGATGTCCATCTCGGGCACCTCCTTTTTGTACTTGAACTTGAATTGATACAGTTCAGTCACTGTCTAGGGATTTAACAAGAGCATGACAAGACAGAACAAATGTAAAGATGTGTACTGAACTTAGCAGGCTCCTTTCAGCACTTTATAAGAACACAGCATTAATTTAATGAGAAGTTTATAGCTTAAGCTCCATTACTGCTTGCATGAGTGTTGGTAGGTTTCCTTAACAACCACAACTTACCTAGCACTGAAATAATCACAAAAAATTGCAAACTTCCTGCCTCCTCCTCCTATTTCCTCTGTGGGCCTGACTCCCCACCCCTGTCCTCTAATGAGACACCAGGGCCAGCTGACCTCACAACGTCCATCTGTCCTCCCCTACTACTAAAAGGAAAAATGTCAGGTTTCATGAGTGATGCAGCGTCACAGGGAAGCCTGGCCCAGAGTTCTGTATTGAGGCAAGAGCCTGCAGGACAGTTTCCACTAGGAATTCAAACTGTATTGCACAGGGATTCTGAGTTTCACTGGTCTCAGAGTTTACTGAGAGATTAAAAAGTATATATTTAGATGACATCCCATGTAAAAGAAAATGATTTGCTATGATTTTAGAGAAGACGACCATTAGGAAGAACAAACTTCAACACAAAAGAAAGGACATACTGCAGCCCAATGTCATGTCTATCATTCGCTTTTCTCAGAGGCACTGAGGTTGACTGGGAAGAGTCAGGTTGAGCTCTTAAGTCCGAGTCTTCCTCAGAAATCCCAGCACTTCCTTCCTCCCTCCCCAGATGCTGAGGTGCAGTGCAGCAGAACTGCAATGCCGCAGGCAGGTTCTGCAGCCATTCCTCATGTGTGCTCTGTGGAGAATGAATGGATGCAGAGCCTCACTTATATACTGTACTGCTAAGACTGCTGCCACAGGCTAAACAAAATAGCAGAGGTGGCAATTCAGTGGAGAACACAGAAAAGATAAGCACACACAGAATGTGTAACTCATACATCCCAGCTCTGAAGCGATTTGTAACTTCTGTCCTAAACCTCTCTGCATGAAAAACAAAACAAAAAAAAACAACAGATCTCTTTTCACTACTCCTTTCAAAAAGATAATAAAAGAAAAATAGAATAAAAGAATGGTTTTGAACTTCCCAGTTCTTCCCTCAGGGAAGAAAAACAAAATTGAGAACATGCCCATTAGCTGCCTGTTAACATCCCTGCCTGAGGCCCTAGATGCCCGGTAGGAGTGTTTGATCACAATCCAGCTCACTGAGCTGTCATTCTTGAGTGAAGGCAGAAGAAGAGAAACCAGGTCACCAAGCAGCAGTGTCAGGGTAGAATTTAAGCCCACAAGTCCATTCTGAATAAAAATCTACTCACCCATGCCTTCGGTTGCCTCAAAGATTAATTAAGACTCTTTCTTACCTCCGGTTCCTCGGGATTGGTGTACATCTGTTGTAAGAAAGCACAGTGAGCACATTCTGCCCTTGGGTAACGTGAACCAGTGAAAAAAAGGACTATAAACAATGTTATTTCCAAGTTACAGCAGAGATTGTGCTATCTGTAACATGGGATCGGAGAAAGGAATGGCTGAGACACGGCCTTCCTCTATCAGCAGTCCATACTTAGCACTTCAAAGACAGGTAGAAGACTCACCTGTGTAATTCTAGAGGAATGAGGTTAATTCCCATTCCAATCCTCACAGGTAACTATTGATGCCTGAGATTTAAACGCTCAGATTATGCACTCAATAGGTGTGTAGAACGGCTATTGCTGCTTTACAAAGAACCAGGGCAAAAGATTCCGAAGGCAGCTGCTAGCGTGTGGTTTCCTTCAGATTATTAAAGTGAACTCTTATGCAGTGAGGAAACACAGCAGCTTCCTTCTTCCAAGGATCAAGGCCAGAGTTTGCAGGAAGCAATGATAGGGAACCCAGGAAAGTGTTTCCTGGGCTTTAAGGATTCATGTAAGGCCTGAGAGTCAGAGGTCTGACATACAGAGAAAATGTTCCCACGCAGCCTAGGAAGTTCATATTTACCATATTTAAGAAAGGTCATCACTCTATTAAAAACCACATATATTTTGACTTCCCCTTATAAAAGGCATTTATGGTTTGACACAACGTCAAACTCCAAATCTCTGTCAAGCACGGTGGGAGAAGAAAAACGTCTTGTACTCATCTACTTACTGCTAGCACAGCAACATGTAGCTAAAGAGAGAGAGAACAAGAGAAAACAAAACACAAAGTCAATATCTATCCTTAATGGGTGAGGACAAAATAAGATATCAAAATCTAACTGCCTACACACAGCGAAGGAATGGGCACATTCAACAAACTGTGAGTCACACATCTTTCCTTACGCAGACTCTTCATAGCATCAGCAACACCTAGTGGCCGGTTCACTTGGCTTTACATGCACTTCCCCGAGAAAGCACGACATGCTCAGACTTCCCTCCCTCTTGGGACTTTTTCTAAACAAATATTCAGAGCCTATGTCAACTTAAAACACTTTCACAATAGCACCCATCCCTACCGACGAATAATATTTGCTCACTGATATAAGACACATCAAAGGTGTTTAATTTACACTATAGCAAGAAACTGTACATGGGAAAAGATGAGAAAGCAATCCTAGAGCACCCATTAAATACCTGTTTTTCTCTTAATCTTTGTCAAATAATAACTACATTATGTCTCTCATAAATAGCAGAGGGCTACGTACCTCCTAGAACTGTCAGCAAGCAATAAACAGCTCATTTTGCACTACTGTATGCACTGTGCCAGTTGTACTGATTTTAAGAGCACACGCAATCAGCAGTGCTGAAACTAACACAGCTTCATCTGATCTAGATGAGAGTTAACTTGATGAGCAGTGCTGACAGAGATGATAATTGGTCCTTTTTTCTGTACAAGGCATTTTTGTGTGTGTGTGAGAATCAGCAAGAAATATGATTACTTACTGGCTGGTTTTGTTCTGAAACCAGATAAACACATTACCTAATGAATTACTTTATTAAAAAAAAAAAAAAGGAATAAAATCCAAACCCAAGAGAGTTAGAGAAGATGAGAAAAAGGGCAAAGGCTTGAAGAAAACATAAAAGAAAGCAGAAGCATGAAAGAATCTTTCTCAAGAAAACAGGCATGGAAATCAGGACCTGCAAGTTCTGACTGGCACTGTCTGTATTCAGACACTGGAGAGTGCAAATGTAGAACACAGAACAAAGGGGAATCCATTCCAGGATGCAAGTGCACATGCCATGTACAGGCAGGTCCAGAGAACACCAGTCAAGGTTTGGTTGGGCTCAAGGAATAAAATCCCAAATCTCAGATTTTTATTCTCTGGGCTGCCTTCCCCTTACTCCACAGCTGTAAATGTGTGTTGTGTGTATGCAAGATCACTACAACAATACAAAGGAGGAATGAAAATACAGTTTTGTCCATATTTTTGAAGAAAAATAACAAAGTCCATTAAAAAGCAAGAAAGAACTTACATACTGCTTCTCCAAAGCATCAAAACAACCTTGAATCCTGCCAGGGAAAAATGTTTTAGTGCGATGTTTATCTCATGGTCTGTAAAAACACAACTCATCAGATGCAGTTTAAAGTCCATGTTATTCTGGAATAAGACAACACAGCCAGTAACATTCTGGTCTTGTAAAGTCCTTTTCCAGGTCAGCCATCAAAAAGATCCCGCCTGCCCTTCAAAAAGCATTTGTGTGTTGTTTACACATCCTGAGCCAGTCAGCCTAGAGCCCACTTCAGTCCTGACTGTTCAGTCCTGACAGTGACAAGGACCTGAGGCCAAAGCTCAGAGCTCCATTTTGGCCCCCATCTTGCTCTCCAGTGGCCCTTTTCCCAATGACTGTGTACAGAACTTGGCTGAAACTTCAATCTGAACACAGCCTGACGTGTCTGGACTCATGTTTTTGCTATCTGATGTACAGTTCACTGCTAAGGACATTCTCAAAGCAGTAGGTATTACTTGAGGCAGCAATGGTCAGATGTTTACTTATTGAGCCCTTGCAACTGCATACCTCCTTATCAATACCTCCTTATCCAGACTCTGCTTGTTGGAAACACACTAATTCTGAAATGCATCCTAAATAATATACAAGACAACTGTAAGGTACCCAGACACACAATATTCAGGGAGGTAAAATACTGTACTTACTAAAAAACAAGCTACAAGAATCACTATAAAAGTGAAACTGGAAAATATGAGACAACAGCAGAATCAACCTCATGATTTTCTTTACTCTCACTCCCAACCTACGCTGCCAGTGTGTGCTTTGGAGCCTGACCATGACCTCACTAAAGTCAACACTTCAACAGGCCCTGACTTCACATGATCTCTGTCAGCTAATTCTGTCTTGCTTACGCACAGGGCCAAGCACACACACTGCAGCAGAGTGAGTTGCACAGGCATATCCAATAGTGCTACTGGGCACAGTATTTTCAAACTCAGGAAGAAGAAGAATGTGAGGGGTAGATGTCTTGCTATTCAGCACAATCTTGTCTTAGTTTCACTGTTACTCACTTACCACTTGACTATCTGAAACGATCCCAGACAGCTTTTATCTTCTCGCAGAATTTTTAGACAGAGGTCTGCAAAACCAGATTTAGCACATAGTTACCATCCTTATCACAGCTATTGGGCAAATGCTGAAACCACCCCAGCTATCCTCCCTTTTTTGGATAAAATACTTTATCTGGAGGTTCTTCCTGAGCGGAAATGTTGGTTTTCCACAGAATCCCAGGTGGGCTGACACAAGCTTATTGCTGCATTTTCAAATGTCAAAGACTTTCCTCAGATGATCTGGGTTCTGACAGAAGTGCTGAAGAGTTACAGCTTAATTCTGAAAATACAACAACTTCCCTTCTCCATGCCCACCTACTCTGGTACTTCCAAAGAACACTTTCACTTCTGCATTCAGACTTCACCAACATCTCTGTGAGATAAATGTCTGTAGAATAAAATAAACTACTTCTGATAAAATTTTTCACGTAGTTCCTTCTGCCTCTGTTTTCAGGGCATTCAGAAGAGCAAGAAGAAACACATCCTGAAAATGAAGAAGTGAATTAGTAACACCTTAGGAGTCAACCAAAGAGCCCTCAAAAGCATGAGCAGGCCAGATGTTAACAGTCTTGACCAAAAAGACACTTGAAAGACCTGACATTTGATTAGAAGGAATAGTGGCTATTCAGGGTTTCCTGCACCCTCAACGAAGCCCATGAAGTGCATGTAACCATGTTTCAGGATAACTACCAGCTTAAGTAAAAACATGAAGATAGACTACAAACAGTTGAGACATTTCACACCCCACTAACATATCTCAAATGAACAAAAAGATGCTGATGAAGCAAAACATTACTAACTCTTAATATGGAGGAGGCTCAGTGAGACCTTATTGCCCTCTACGACTCCCTGAAAGGAGGCGGTGGTAAGTTGGGCTCTGCCTCTTCCCCCAGGTTAGTAGTGACAGGACTAGAGGGAATGGCCTCAAGTTGCACCAGGGGAGGTTCAGGTTGGATATTAGGAACAATTTCTTCTCCAAAAGAGTGGTCAGGCACTGGAACTGGCTGTCCAGGGAAGTGGCCGAGTCAACATCACTGGAGGGGTTCAAGAAATGTGGAGGTGTGGTCCTAAGGAACGTGGTTTAGTGGGCAACACTGGTGGCAGGTTGGACTGGAAGACCTTAAAGGTCTTTTCCAACCTTAATGATTCTATGATTCTGGTGATCCTACAGTAAGTCTCACAGCAATATTTTTCTTCATTAAAGTTCTGACTGTGGTTCTCTTGCTAGTTCTGACGAAGCACATGCAATCATGTGACCTAGTCAATTTTCACAGAAAAAAAAACAATTCTACTTTCTATCTAACAAAGCAAGCTGAAAACTTGAACCCCAAGGGCTCAAAAATCCAAAGGAAAATATACATACACCAATCTGAGCTAATTTTTAAATACTCAACGATTTCTAAGTCAAGCTCCTGACCTGAGGCCTGACTCAAAGGGCTGGCAATAGCAAGGAACAATTATAAACCAAAAGAAACGTGAATAGGAAAGCCACGAGTTGCCAATAGCTCTAGGTCATCTTCTGTGCTCTCTATCTGATGCAGAAGCACTATCTGCATCAAGACTTGAGAAGGCTTGTTAGCTACCTTCCCAATAGACTCAAGTCATATATACATGAGCAGCTGGAAGGTAATCTGCAGAGTAGATAATTGCTAAAATATAGTGAGTAGGAATAAGAATTCTGAACAAACTGCAAGGGTTACCATCTAAATAGCGAGTTCCGTAAGAACTCTCAGGGAACAGCCCTCTCAGGTATGTTATGCAGGAGACAGAGATGGCCAGAAGTCTTTTCACCAGCACCACAGACTGCTGCTTAGTAGTGATTTTGTTGGGGAACAACAGAAATTCCTGAAAAAGAAGAGCAAGGATTACATTTAGAAATTATTCTTAGCAGAGGAAGGGTAACTTTAAAAGATAATTTTAACATTTCCCTGGTCTTCATATTACACAGAGAGGACTCATGTCTAACATAAAGTATTTCAAGGAGAGTTTCTGACATGATTTATTCAGATGCAGACCACATGGGTCATTAATTCCTCTCCAATATGGCTGAACATTCCCACCCCCTCCATTGCACTTATGCAGGCACTTAGGAGACAAGCAGCCCTTAGAAACAAAAGTGTGTATCATTTTGTGCCAATCTGCTCTGCACAGTTATTTGTGGGCTCAAACAAGTGTGCGTACTGCTGAGGTGTTCACTTCCTTACCAAAGTTCATTGCCTGCTACAGCTTTTTGTGAGCTGTGACAGCAGACCAAGCCTGTCGGCACTGTAGGCAGACCTAGTTTTCAGAGCGATTTTAACACAGAGACGCAAACAGTACGTCTAAGATTGGAGCTAATGTAAATACTAAACACTGCATGATTTAAACAGGAAAAATCCCAATGGAAAGAACACTAAATTTAGTTCCTTTATTAGGTCATTGCCTTACTTCCTGCTAATGAAGTACACCTAATGAGCCTTTACCTATTTAGCCAAACATGTCAAAACTTCATGCGTCCTGGACTCATTAAAATAGAAATATCTGCTTTTTAATTCAACTAAGAATAACACAGTCTTCCCAGCTCACAAGACACAGACATGCCAGGCTCAAAACTGAGAGGCATTTCAAGGTTTTTACCTTAGAGGACTTATTCTTCTGCCTACTTAAAAGCTGACAAGTGGCCATCACGTATTTCAAAGATCTGTCTTCCACTTGGAGTCAAAACCTGAAAAAAAAACACACCAGACATGAGACACCTGGAAAATACACAATCACTGCATTTTTCATCTTCATTAAAGAACCAGATTCTTCGGGCTTATCAGATCTCAAAGCTAAGAGATTTGCAAAGCAAACTGTGACTACTCTGTGGCACTGGCTAGAAGTCTGCAGGAGAGAACTCTCACTATTCACCAGTAAACCATCGGGAGTATCTGAAACTCAGGGCCACAGCTGTACAGTGGTGTCAGCCACTGCTCTTTTAAATTGCATTTCTCATATTCCAAGCCTCAATGTTAACTCCTACAACCATTAAAAAAGGCGTGAAGGGGGAATGTGGAAGAACTGGGAGTCTGCCAGCTGATATTTTTGGAAGGGTGAGCAGGAACCACGTTAACATCAATCCTGGCCGCAGCAAACGAAGGCACCAAACCCGCCGGCTGCCATGAGGCCACAACGGCACCCGCACTCAGGCACCAGGGCAGCGTTCAGCCACAAAACCCTACTCAACACCTGCGTGCCAGCAACGTTTTCCGTATTTACGCGTTCCACAGCTTAGGATTCTTTTATTTTTTAAACCACGTTTCACTAAACGCTCTCTGGCCAGGTCCGGAATGCAATTCAAGCAGACAAATGTCTGCTTGTGAGCCACATAACAATGTGATAATGACAACGCAATGCGTTTTCTTCAGCGCAGCCTGTTTACAATCGATTTATACACAGTGGAAAAGCCACCTCGGCCGCTCTTTGGGGCCTCAGAACGGCGCAGCAGCCGACCCACAACGGGGCGGTGTGGAGGCAGCACCGCTCAGCACCAAGCGCGGGCTCGCCTCAGCGCGGCGCCATCTTGGGGGCGGCCCGACCGTTACCTGCTGGGGGCTGGGCGGGCGGATGAGGGGACGCTGCTCCACCCCTCGCTGCTCCCTCAGTAAAATCCCCCCTCCTCAGACCTCTAAGCTAAATGCCCCCTCTTTCAGTTGAAAACCGTTCCCCTATCGCTACCTACCCGTGCAAAAAGTTGATTTTCCTCTTGTTTCTAAACTCCCTTGATGTACTGGAAGTATATCGCACCACAGCGAGGTCTCCTCACAGCCTTCTCTTTTCCTGGCTGAACAAGCACAGTTCCTTCAGCCTGTCCTCATAAGTGAGGTGCTGCAGCCCTTGGATTACCTTTGTGGCCCTCCCCTGGATAGGACAAGGAGAAGTGATTTCAAACTAAAAGAGAGGAGTTTTAGACTGGATGTAAGGAAAATGTTTTTTTCACTAAGGGCAGCGAGGCTCTGGAAGCAGTTGCCCGGTGGGCGTCCCTTCCCTGGACCAAGGTCAGGGGACGGGGCTCCTGGTCAGCTGTAGGCATCCCTGCTCACTGCAGGTGGACCAGGTGTCCTTTGAGGATCCCTTCCAACTCAGATGTTCTATGGCTCTGTGATTCTGAGTTCATGCTGCGGCCAGGCGTGTCCCCAGGTTTAACCACAAGTCTCCAACATCCGTGCTTGTAACAGCACGCCGATGTTTGAAATCGTGGCACTGCTGTCAGATTGTCGCCACCCAAGTGGAGGTGCAGGGTTTAAATTACTCAAAGCCAAAAGGCATGCTTAGGGTTTCCAGGTACGAACTTAGGGAAAAGGAAACAATATTAGACCGACTCAATGACATTCAGAAGAAGTAGATTATTTCTGGAGCTTCTGTCACAACTGCAAGGAAGATGAGTCCCCTTTTATTAACCAGTACCTTGTTTACAGAATCATAGAATGGCTTAGGTTGGAAAGGCCCTTACAGCCCCAAGCCCTGCCATGGGCTGGTTGCCCCACCAGCTCCCATCCATGGCCTGCTGGGGATGGGGCACCCACAGCTCTGTGCAGCCTGGGCCAGCATCTCACTGCCCTCTGAGTGAAGAGTTTCTTCCTAATATCTCACCTGCCAAATAATATAGCATAAGATTGTGATATAGATCTTCTATAAGAATAACCTGCCTAAAGCGTTTCTTCCCCTTCCCAGGAATTCTGTAAGTTTTTCTTCTCATCTCGTTACAATTTCCAAACTCGTTATTCCAGGCAATCCACTGGGGATGCTGCTGGATGCACACCAAGGCTGGTCCCTCGACTCTGGGAAGCTTGGACAATGATTTGCACAACTGCTATGGACAGACACGATGTTTTCTGAGTACCTGTGTTTTCCAGGCCCTTTTCTGATCTCCTTCCAAAGACCTTTGCCCTAGTTCAGTCAACAACAGCTGCTGAAAAGCTCCTCCCCAAGGGAGGAGAAAAGACAGGGTTCATTTTCAAGAATAATACAACAACGTTAGAAGAAAACATGATGCAGTGAAGGTGATAGCTGTCAGCATGACGTGCTGAAGCTTTGCAGTCATGTTTATTTTGGCTTTGTGCAGACTTGGTGCTACCTGCAGGCTGCGTCACGGCTGGGACAGGTGCCAAGCCTGCAGTTTTAGAGGATTCAGCACAACGGCAGGGCAAGGCCAGCAGGTCAGCCTGCAGGAGAAGCAAGTGGGAGCAGACCTGGAAATGCCTGTTGCAAGAAGAGAAGCTGAGACCCTCTTCCAAGAGCGGCCTGAGCCCGGGAACCAGTATTTGGAGGATGCTTTGCTTCGGAGTTACCTGGAGGCACACCTTCCTCCCAAGGTCTGACGTGTGTGTCTGTGTGTGTGTACACACTGCAGTGCTGGTCATTGTGAACAGAACCTTTCTCTGAACCCTTTTGTGCCTTCCGTGTTTAACTGGGGGGAATTTAGCAGCGTTCCTTAAAACTTTTTATGTGTGTAGGGGTGAAAAACACTTCCAGGACATAAGCAGAAATAGAAAGGGCAGGCTCCTCTGGTCTGGATGTTCCTGGAAGAGTGTTTGGAGATTGTCAGTGCGTACATTTGTTGTCTGGTGTCATCCAGAGTAAGAAATTTTAGAGAAAGGGGGAAAAAAATGGAGGTGCATCCCAAATGTGCTGTGCTCTTCCCCTCCCCTCTCTCTGGGGAAGAAGGATTTTCAAGGAAATCCCTTGCCAAACAAAGTAACAAGGCTGATCTCAGCCATAAGCTGAAGAGGATACAAAGGCCCTTCGGGAATTGCTGCTTCTCAACAACAGTCCTTGGCTTTTCTGAGTTGGTATTCAGAGAGCAAAGGCTCAGCACAGAGCTGCAGGGGTACAGAGGGGAGGAGCAGCAGCCCGTGCTGTGCTGTGCGGTTCCATCCTGCAGGAAGCCCTGGGCTCACTGCACTGCCTGTGCTCTGCCATCCCCCCAGGGACTACAGTTTGTCTCACTTGTTGAGGGTCAGATCTCATGGAGCTGGGTGTGACCTCTGTGTTTCATTGCAGCAGAAGCAGAGCCGGTAAAGCCACTGTGCGAGCAAAGGAGACGTATCCTGGCTGCCAGCAATGCTCTTCCTGCCCCTGCTTGGTCTGCAGGTCAGGAAGGTCTTGGGGCAGTAAGAGTGTAACAGCAGCACCGTGAGCTTGCTATTGGCACTGCCGGGATGAAAGACAGGAATGAGGCATCTCCAAGCACCGCTGTGGCCTTTCTGAAGGAGGACGCTCCTACTCTGCACCTGATTCTTCCCATTTCCTGAAGAATTAAGAGGGTCAGAGCTGCTCTCCACTCCTTCCCCAGGAGACAAAGCGGCTGCAATACCCACATCAGCAAATCTCCCTTACATTTCTGCCTGCGGTCCCAGCGGGGCAGTGTTGCCTCGCTCTGCTCTCAGCCTCCTGCAGCACTGCCTTGCCCGCAGCCCGGGGCTGCTCTCCATGCCAGCACCCCCCTCTCCTGTCCAGGACGGCAGCAGCAGCCGCAGCTTGGCACATCGCCCTGAAGCAGACACCACTACAGTGGATATTGATTCCTGTTGCGCTATTTACCTGTGTTTAGCGGTGAACATAGAGATTTCTCTGGAATGGAACAAGGGATTTCTTTGTTTGAAGGTGATTTCTGGAGAACACAGCAGGAAGCACCTGTTTGGTTTTTTTTTAAGCGCAGTTTTGAGATGTCCACTGATCTTTGATCCCTCTGTAATGAAATCTCAATATAAAGGATTGTGTGTTTGTGCTCTCGGTGTGTTTTCACTCCATTCATCTCTGGAACATCAAAGCACTGATTGGGGTAAAGGAGACCAGCCAGCAGATGCTGCTGGCTCGTGGCTGCAGCCTGGAACCTCATGGTTTGCAGGTGCCCCAGCAGCAGTGCGTGGTGATGTACAAGTGTAGCAGCTCTGATTTTGTTCTTTTCCCTTGGAAAGAAATGCAGTTGGGCAGGACAGTGGTTCAGAGGTGTGGTCAGGGCAAGAGCTCACGGCTAGGTGCTGTGGTTTCTTTAGAAGATGTGGATATGGAGGTAAAGGGACTGTTGGTAGTGAGCAGGCAGGAGTGTGCTGATCAGGAGACCTGTGTGTTGAACTCATGTTCATCTGCCTGCAAAAACCTCCAGCTAAATGGTTCAAAGGTTCTTCTTGTGCTGCAGGGATTAGTGAAATCCTTGTACTTTGGATTCTTAGGTTGTCTCTCTGAAACAGCTTTCAAATAGTTACAGTGCAATAAGCCTTGGAGGCATGCACCCAGGGCTCATGTGGGTTTTGGGCTTGTGTTGTGATTTCTAAGGCTGCTGCACTGTTCAGCTGAAAGAACAACGTGTGTTCTGAGGATGGAGACTTCCAGAGCACAGGCTGGACAGTGTGTGAAGGATTCTCATTACACAGAGCAGTGCAAGAATCAATCATATGGGATGGAGTGTGATGAAAAGTCAATGCAAGGGGAAGCAGGGAAAGGAAGCAGTGTTTGTATTTCTTCAATGGCAAATTAATGTGTTTTATAATTGCACCATTCAGTCACAGCAAATATGGCATTCACCTCCACAACTGCAATTATTGAGGAGGAAATGAGCATCTTTTATGGGCTTAGAGAACAGCAAAAAGTATTCCTCTGTTGAAAATTAATCTTATTCAGATGCTTGCATGACCCCCCATAATATTTTTGGACATATTTTTGCTAACTATCCATGCTAGGGGCTGGGTTACCCAGGTTTAACCATGTCTAAATCAGGTTATTTATGTCTAAAGTTCACCAGGCTCTGACTGCAGACAGTAAAGAGGAGCAAGCACCTGCAGAGGACAATTCCATCACCTTAACACGAGGAGCTGAGGTAGTGGGGATGAGTCATTTCTCTGCAGGTGATGGTTTCTGTCCATTAGCCATGGACAGACTCCTGTGTCCAAGCCAGCCAAGCCTGGCTAAAATGAGAGTTAATGAATCTTTATCAGGAAGCTGGCTGCAGAGTGGAAATTTGAATGTAGACACACCCTATGTGCAAGGCAGAAGCTCGAATCAGAGCAGCATGGAATGGCTTAGGTTGGAGGGGGCCTTAAAGACCATCCAGTTCCAACCCCTGCCATGGCAGTGTTGCCAACCACCGGATCAGGCTGCCCAGGACCTCATCCAGCCTGGCCTTGAATGTCTGCAGGGTTATGGATGATTGAGCCCTCTTTCTTTTCCAATCTGATAAGGAGTTAACTGGTGATTTCAGTGGAAGTTTTTCTATAGAGATGAAGGATTTCCATTTTTGGCACCTTTTTCCTTGGCGTTCTTTTCCAGCACTAAATCACAGAGTGGCTTTGGTTGGAAGGGACCTCGAGATCATCTCGTCCAAATCCCTTTCTCATATGCATCTGTGTGGCTCTCAGCCCCGATACAACAACTCTTCTGTCTTTTGTAAAACCCAGAGATGCTGCCAGAAGTAACTTGAAAAAAACGATTTTGAAAAAAAAATGTGACAGCTGAGCACAGCTGTGCCAGCAGAGGCCAAGAGACAAGCTGTCCTGCTGCATCACAGAGCACAATGAGCCAAGTGGCAAGAGATCATCAGTGCCCAGAACAATATGGCCAGTACTTTGCCTTTCCAATTAGCACTGAGGCCCCCCGCCTTCCAAGCAAGTACTGAAAGGCTCTTGTTGCTTCACAGGTACTGGAGGAGGTGAACCAGGAGCTGGAGGGGTTTGGAAACCGTCTGCTAACCAAGATCAGACCTCTAGGATGGGAATGTGAGTTGAATCCCCCTGTATTTCGGCAGTACGATGCCTGGGGGCAGCGGGTGGATCACATTGTCACCTGCTCAGCCTGGAAGAGGATGAAAGAGATTGCAGCAGAAGAGGGGCTGATTGCTGAGGCCTACGAGAGAAGATACTCCAACTGGAGGTAACTGGGTGGAATGGGAGTGACTTGGTGTCTTGCAGGCTGTATTCAGCATCTGGTAGGACTGAACTTGTTGTGTAATGGATAAGAGGTGATGCATGAAGAAAAGCACACCTACTGCTGTACTGAACAGCAGTGCCTGTCCATTATAATGTTCCACATCAGCAATGATAAGGTGTAACTAATGGCCTGCAGTTGATCATAATATTCTCTGATGTCGCTTTCCTCATTCTGGGGCCTGGCTTCCCTGTGCTGCTCCAGCTTTACATGCATTACTCGTAACACAGAAGTCTGGAATTTTACTTGTAGTTTCATTGTGTTCCAGCCTCTGGAGATAGACCCAGATTTTTTATTTTTAAGAAGTGCACTTAATGTGCACCAGATGGCAATCGGTGCCTTCCATCCAGCCCCACACTCGCAGTTCCTCTGGGACTGAGAAACATTTCTGCTCCACTTCTGCCTTCGTGGTTGAAGCTGTTTCTTTTCTCCTTGAAATGAGTGGTCTAACTAACCCATTTTGGCTGTATTTTTCCCCTCTGTTCCTAGTCAAGACATCTTATCCTCCTACTGCTGAACTGCTGCAAAACCTGCCTGTTTTCACTCTCTCTCCTAGCCGTGTGCACCAGGCTGTCAAACTGTACTTGTTTTCGACCGCCTCTGGGGGTTTCAACTGTCCGCTGGCCATGACTGATGGAGCAGCCAAAGTCATTGAGGTATGAGCTGAGCTGCTCTCTGAAGACACAGCCCACGTCCTGGAAGAGCTGGCCAAGGACCAGGGAGAGCTGATCTGCCTTCTGGCTCTGGACATGGCCCTGCCTTGCTCTGTGACTCAGCTCCATCTCCCCTCACCTGACTTTCTGCTTCAGTTACAGTCTGTGCACCCAGGCCAGCTTCTATGTTTGCATACAGTACTTGCACAGTGAGGCCTCAGCTGCATACAAATCCCGTAGCACTGCAGTAGCTGGAAAGTTGTCCCCCCTTTCTTACTACAATGTTCAACAGCCTTGTTTTCCTGTCCCCTCTGTGAAGCAGGAGTTAAATGAATTGAGCCAGATCCAAACGTGATGGATGGATCTGAGCTATCAAGGCTTCCCAGTCTGAAGGTCTGGCTGTGTTTCAGTGACACCCTTTGCACTATGTAACTAGCTGTGTGGGGTGCAGAGAAAAGCCAGGCAGAAACTAGCTAGCCCTGGGCATTCCAATTCAAGAGAAACAAAACTCCACAAGGGAATTACCTTTTCCTGGAGCTCTTTGGATGCTGGTGACATCCAAAGATGTACACAGATATACTGGCACCAGTGCTGCCCTGGGAGCTACCTGTCCAGCTGTCAAGCAGTGCAGCAGTTCAAGGTCAGCAGTGCTGCTCAGCACTCCTCAGTGTAACATGAGTCTGCACTTTCTGCCCACGCAGTGCATCTGCACTCAAGGCAGGTGGTTTCACATTGTCAGTAGTGCAAGCAGATGTAGTGCAGGACAGCCCTGATTGCAGATAATGCATTCTGAGCCTGGTGAGGATGCTTGTAGGACAAACCAGTGTTAATTAAGTCAAATGTTTAATTGCATCTACTTCAGTATGATTTTAGTTTCTTTTCCCTCCCCCAAAACAGTCACTGGGTGTTCCTGCATCTCTGAAAAATGCTTTTGACCATCTGACATCTCGTGACCCCAGGAAGTTCTGGACCTCTGGCCAGTGGATGACTGAGCGCCGGGGGGGCTCTGATGTTGGTATGTGCACAGGGGTGGGCAGCAGCCAGGTGTGTTAGTGAGGGCTGAGAACATCAAGTCATGTCAATCCTGCTGTGTTTTGCCAACAGAAGGCCCAGCCTCTGTGCACTGCTGCACAGGTACAGAGCTCTGGTCCTTGCTCAGATTGCACACTGATATTTAACTCTGTGATCTCAACCTTGAGCAAGGCAGTCAGATCCATCCCAGGTGGGACTGAGGGAGCATCCTTGACCTTCAACTTTGGCAAATGATTACAATAGCACGATGGGCTGGGAAACCTCAGGACCCCATTGCAGGAAAGAGAGTCACCTGCCTCTGATGAACCTTCTTCCCAGTTGGAGAAGTGAAAGAATCAGCTGTGGAGGGAGAGCTACAGAGGTGACCATCATTGTAGGACTCTTGATGATGGCATCCCTTGTGGCTCTTGGCTGAGGTAGCTCCTAAAGAAACAGAGGCATTGTATTATAAACCACAGGACGTTTTGCTTACAGAGCACTGCCATTACCACTGTTAGATTGGACTGTTGCTGGGAAGACTTGTAGCTAAACAGAACATTTTTCCTTTCTAGTTCTTAACTCTGGCTGCATTTCTTATCCAGTGTCAGTGAAAGAGATTAGCAGCTAATCCATATTTCATCCAGATAGCATGGGGCGACTTAAAAAGAGCTGCTGCTTAAACTGAAAATCAGCATCGATTGATACAGGAGTTCCTGTAGAGCCATGATCTTCTGCTCCTTTCTTGCAGCTAACGGCACAGAGACCGTGGCCAGAAAGCAGCCAGATGGCACATATCATCTCCATGGTTTTAAATGGTTTACATCAGCAGCTGATTCTGATATGGCATTAACCCTAGCCAGGATAGAGGATGCTGAAGGACATGTAAAACAGGTCTGTTCTGTGGTGGAATGCCTGAAGGAGGAGGGGAACTTTTAACTTCCTTTTTTCATTGTAATGAAATCTTCTTTGCATGCCTTTTTAACGACCCCAGGGCTCCGGCGGGCTGTCCCTGTTCTTCCTGAGGGTTCAAGATGAGGAGGAAAAGCTGAATGGTATCCAAGTGCAAAGACTGAAAGATAAGTTGGGCACACGGCAGATGGCAACAGCAGAGCTGTGGCTAAATGGAGCTAAAGCAGAGCTGGTGAGTGAGGTTTGCCCATCCTCTCGGGACTTGGCAGGCTTGGCAAGGCAGGCCACTCTTGGAGGTGCTGGCAGTGATACCACCTGAAGAAGTGGGTGTATCTCCTCCACATCTGTGGCTGCCTGCTCATTCCACAGAATCCTTCCCCAGCAGGGCTCTGTTGAAGCTGTGAATAGCTCAGGGAAAATCATGCAGGAGAAAAAAGAAAGTAGTTTTAAGCTGGTCATTTCCCTGATGCAGTTGCATTATCCCAGCTGAGGGACAGTTCTGTGTAGCATACACGTAGAACAAGCAGCCAGGAACCAGAACTGATCATGCTGACTCCTGCTGGTCTCCAAATCTCTCTGATTATGCCACATAGCTAAAATGAGACAGCAGTGTTCTAAAGCAAGCAGATCTCTCTGCCTCTGGAGGATAGACTATATCTATCTGCCTTTAGGCACAACTCTTACTTAGAGGGAGGTGCTTCAGCTCCAACCTTTGTTCCTTGCTTGTTTCAGATCTCTGCAGAAGGTCGTGGAGTGGCCTCCATCTCCAACATGCTGAACATAACTCGGATCCACAACGTCATTGGTGCAGTAGCTTCCATGAGAAGGTGAAGGCAGCATGGATCCCCCCAGAGCTGAAGGAACAGCTTATGAGCACAAGGGAAGTTTGCAGTGCTCAGCATTGCCTCTGCAGGCACAGGTCTGGAAGCCAGCAGCGCTAGAAAGAGCTAGCCTGTGTGTGACCTGGGCTGGAATGGTGCAGCCAGGCAAGGCTCATCCAGTGAGGATGGTTGGAAGGGAAAGCCTGGAAAGGAAGTAGGAAAGTTGCTTCTCTGACACCTTGCACTGTCTGTATTCTCCCTAGGATGATCAGTCTGAGCAGGCAGTATGCCCTTAAGCGGGTTGTCTTCGGGAAGCTCCTCAAAGACCATCCCCTGCACATGCAGACAATAGCCCGGATGGAGGTAAGGCTTCCAGGAGCAAAGCTGAGTCTGGAAAAACAGAAGAAGGACAAGAATCCTCAGTGGCTTGTAAGCACAGCCAGTCTGGCTCTGTATGGAAATCAGGTGTAGAGAGCTGGGGAATTGCCATAGTCTACTGGGATTTGATCTGATGATGGATCTGGCTTCTCTGCTGCACCATAGGTTATCCTAAATACCAGTTACCTGGGAGCTGTTCTGAGAGGGATGCCAGAGTTCATGCATGCTTCTACTATGCTGTTGCCTCTGAAGTTGGTCATTACCATCAGCTTCCAAGCAAGACACCACAGCCTCCTAAACTGCAGTTAACAGACATGCAGGGCTGATGCAGACTCATGCAGCATAACTGGCAGCTCACACAACAGGAGATGAACTGTTCCCACTGTTCTGTTCTCAGCGGGCTCTAGGAACCCTTGAGGGGGCCCACTGCATATTCTGAGACAGGTTTGCTGTCAGTGTACCCACACAGTGCTCACCACCACAAGGAGCTGGGTTTGAATACAGCCTCCAGATGTAAATTTCATCCAATGAAATAATGTTAAATGGTAGAGGAGAGGTATGAATTGGCACTCTGGCTGTGGGCCTTCGCTTGTGGCAAAATGTCGCACAGCTTTGCCTCAAAGCTGAGCTGGAGCAGCCCACTAAACCCACGAGACACAGCAGCTTCCTCCCACTACCAAAACTTCAAAAGGCAGCAGACAGTTCTCCTCATCCATCCAGGCACTGTTTCTTTTAACTGGTGTAACACCACTGTTTATCCTTGGGTTGCAGTAGGTTCATGCAAGTATTTAAACCAACATTTAAAACTCTGCATGCAGAATGGAGCAAGAAGGAGAGGGAATGTTACTCCAACAACTGCCAAACATAATTTAAAGCTTTAGCATCTCCCAGTCTCTAGCATTCTATGGCCAGAACTTCACCTCCAAAAGAAAGGCCAGATCCCACATAGCCCCACAGCACATCATTACACACAGGAGCAACAAATCTCCATCTCCCAGTGCCTGGCACATTGCAGCTTGCCAAGGCAGCATGTTGAATGTTGCATGAAACCTGTCAAAGACTTTGCAGATCTGGTGGTCAGAGACTATCAGACGTGCAGCCTCGTGTCCGTTATCATTTGAAAGAGCGTGGATTTGTGGCCTGCATAACTGATGGAAGCTTTGATAAGGCTCCTGTTAGGCCCAGTGAAATGGCATTGGCCCTTTCTTCATACTGGGCTGCTTTTAACATGTCATGCCTTGCTGGTCACTGGTCTTTGTCTCTGAAGACAATTTTGAGAAGGGGATGTATTTTGCCACTTCCAGACAGTCTCATGGCATTTCAGCAGCCCAGGCTGGGATCAGTCTGAGCTCAGGACCCACGCCAGCAAAACTCCCTGCTTCTCCCCACACAGGTGCAGACACGAGGGGCTTTTCTTCTGCTTATGGAGATGGCTCGGCTGCTTGGACTTGCAGAAACCAACATGGCAAGCGAGCAGGACCAGCTTCTCTTGAGACTGCTTGTGCCAGTTGCCAAACTATACACGGGGAAGCAGGTATGGAACAAGCAAATTGTCTGGAGCAGGGCTGTGCGTTCCAAAAGAACTGGAAAAGAGATCTGGCTAACACAGCCAACACGGAGGGCAGTAGTAGCACGGGGTACAGACAGTGAGTGACCCCTCTGCAGGGCCTGCAGCATGATGGCTGCTCTGTTCTGAGGCTGGTTTTTTCAACTGGGAGACCTGTAACCTTGCTCTCAGGAAGGACACAGCATGCCAGCTGCCTGGCAGGCAAGCCATGGGTCAGCCAGCTGGGGAGAACAGACACAGCAAGCACTCTGATGTACTGCATGTGCCACACAGAGGAACACTGCTGGGGCTTTAGCAGAACTCCCTGTGTTCCAAGGCTAAACTGGGACCCTGAGCCACAGGAAATATCCTTCTCCTAGTTATGAATAAATAGAAGAGAGGTAGCCGTGTTAATAGCATTAGCTTTCACTTAAGGGGTCTATCTCCTTCTTAACTGCCATCAGCTTAAACACACAGAAGCTTACACATCATAGGCAAGCAGGTGGTAAAGATTCTCCTGAAATACAGGCACTTGCTTTATGCACCAAGCAAGCCACAGGTTTACCCTTACTTAGAGAGGACTACAGTGACAAACACTCCTCCTGGAGCTTCTCCCCAGCTCTGACTGCTTCTCATGTCTCCTCTCAATGTTGCCCAGTCTTCATTCCCCAGGCTGCACCTCCCCTTGTGTAACGAGCAGCCTGCCTCAGCAACTCAGTGGGACTTAGGCAGTCCCATCCTGGCAGGAACTGCTGTGTGATGTTAGAGGTTTCTGGCCACTTTCTCCCTCTGTGCATTGTATATTATGTCAGCTCTCTGCTTTTTTTTATTTGCAGGCTTCTGCCATTGCTATTGAGGCAATGGAGTCTTTTGGAGGACAAGGTTACATGGAGGATACAGGCTTGCCAGTCATAGTTCGTGATACTCTGGTAAGAAAACAGCAGGAAGAGCTTGTGCCTCACTTCATCCCTATTAGTCCTTCTAACCTGCCTGGTACAGACAGGCTCAAAGAAAAACATAGTCCTCCCCTGTAGGGATTGGACAGATCAACACAATGGGAAAGGCATTACAACAAAGGTGTGACAATAAAAGGACCGGGACAATAAAGAGGTGCTATAAAGGAAGGGAAGAAGATTGCTCAGAAGATTCCAGGAGAAAGCTCCATCAAAGAGGGATCTCCAACCAGAGATCCTTCCCTGGTGGCAGCCAGCCCTTCAATGAG